AAGTTGCAACTAGCAATAAAAAATATTGTTTTTTGGCATTAAACTAACCTTGTTTGTGTTCCATTAGTTCGCCTTGGGATTCTTGTGGGAATTTCTACCTGATTTTCAGTAAGTGGACCCTGTGAGCTGTTGTTTGTTGGTGGCGTCTGTGGAGGTTTTTCTGTCCTCCTCTCCAGCTCTTCTTCAGCTATTGAGTACTGTGTGCTCACCTGGCTGTCTGGTTCAACTACCAAGCGGGCCACAGTATATAATGACCCTGTCTGATCTTGCTGCTCTGCGTCTCTCTGCGGTGGCTGTTCCGCTGGGGAAGCTTCCATAGGGCCGCAGGAGTCTCTCTGAAGCCGTGCTTCTTGGTCTAGGCTCTGATCGTCACCTCTCTTTGGATCAAGTGAGCGTTGCTGGCAAAGGCAAACCCCTTCCTGAGCTTCAGCCTCCACTTCTTCCTCCAACTCAGAAAATGTTTTTTCTTCCAACCCCTCAGCTAAGGCTTTGTAGGCAATTTCAAGACTAGCTTTTTGGATGATTTGATACTTTCTGAAATATGTCAGAAAACAAAAATGAGTGTGAAAGATTCCAACAACAGGTCCTGGTCAAAATTGATGCTAATAGTTAAAAAACAAAGACAATGAAAGGCAAAAAAAAAAATAAAAAATGATAAGAAAGAGCATAGGCTGAAAAGCGACAAATGGACAGACAGACGATGTGCTGAAAGACAGGTTGGATAACCGATGTAGGAATAGGAAAATTTAATCTTTTATTTAAAAAAAATAATAATAATAATCTTGGTTGGAACACAAAGGTTTTTGTTTGTTAAGCAATCAAATCAGACAGTGAATAAAATTAGTAAAAATCAACAAATACAATCATATTCAATTTTAATACTTTCCCAGACATGGAGAATCAGATTTAATTCTTAATGCAGTGTAAACCTTTGTGCATAATTACAAAAGTTATAAAACTGATAAAATTGCTAACTTCTCAAAGAAGGAAGCCTCACCTTGATGTGAGCCGAACTGTGTTTGTTTGTACGCAAGAGGAAGGACTAGGCTCCTCTTGCTCATCAACTCCAGCTGTCTCATCATGTTGTACTTCGATTCTTTGCAAAAGAAGCATCTTTGCAGCCTGTTTAAAACATACACAAAAAAATTTAAAAAAAAATGTTTTATATACATATTCCACACTCACATATATATAAATAAATATATGTACACGCACACACAAATACACACACACACACATATATATACATATGATCCAGTGCTGAAGCTGCAGTCTTTGGACGACCTGCTGGAAATCCGTCCAGCAACACAAGACCCCACTGAAAGGGAGGATTTACTAATTTTCATAGATTTTCTAAAGCAAATGCTAGTTCCTACACCACAGGAACGTATTACCTCAGCAGCTGCACTTAAACACAACTTTATTACCATGGACCATTTGTCTAACTTTGACAGCAGCAGCTCTTATGCCCTTGAAGCCCATGAGACAATGAGAACTTACAAATTCGTGACATCAGAAAGGTTGGGAGCCACATACAACCCTGAAGAAAGACAAACCTCCTCTTCTGGCAGCAATTCCTGTGTCTGTCCAGGCAACAATTCCTGTGTCTGTCCAGGCAGCAATTCCTGTGTCTGTCCAGGCAGCAATTCCTGTGTCTGTCCAGGCAGCAATTCCTGTGTCTGTCCAGGCAACAATTACTGTGTCTGTCCAGGCAACTGTGCCCCACAAACAGGTAATACGGTCATTGTTTCATCTCCGATGGGTAAAATACTGACCATCCAGAATTCTTTTGGACCAATGATAGCTGATAGTTTGTACAAATTAATGACATCAGAATCATTCGGAGGCAAAACATTATGTCAGAAAACACAGATGACCAGTCCTGAGTCATTTACGATCGCCAATTCAGAAAAACAAAGCTCCTTGTCTGGCAGCAATATTTACATTGAACGTTCAAGCAACTATGCCCCACCGACAGTTAATATCGTTCCTGGTAAGAACTTCAAACAGGAGAGCCTTAATCGTAGTTCAGAGACTGACTACCCTGCCTGTAAAAAGACTGGAAAATGCAAAGACAGCTCGTCAGTGGATTCATATGGCAGGACCTCATCAAGTTTGTGCAGCAGGACCCCCTCTCCTCAAAAAAACCCAGAGATTCAGTCAGGTTTATACACAGAATCACCTATTATCAGATACCCATTTTCATCAGAGACCTCTGACCTGAAAG